AGAAATAGCCTTATCTTTGCCATCTTTAACACCAAGATTCAGATCTTCCTTTGCTTTTGAAGGCAGGTCTTAAGTGGCACCACCACACTCCAGCCATAAATTAATCATCTGTTATGTGGGGAGATCTTCACATTTCCTACCACTACCATTTGAGATCACACATTTCCAAGAATCAGTCTCCTGAAAGCACTGGACAAGTTTGGGAGCAAATCATCAGCTGGTATCAGTTGATGGAGCTGCAGTAGCATCAAGGTAATCACACTGCTTTATACCAGCTGAGGATCTTCCTCATAATTTAATGTACGTCAACATGGATCCATATAACTGGTGGTGTCGCTATGCGTAGTCAGTCTGAGTAGCTGCATAATCTTGATTCTGTGTTATGGACAGATGGGCTAAAGGGAAGGCTGGATGTGTACACGGAAAATAAATCCTTCAAAGGTTGTTAAATGCAAAGGTACCACTTCTGGCTCAGGAAGTCTCTGATCCTAAAACTGTTGGAGTGTGAAAGAGTCCCTGGAGAAGTGTCCCTAAATGCTTGTTCTGTTCTTACACTCGTCTCTAAGCATTGGCTTCAAAGCTATTGGTGGGAAAAGGAAATTAGACTATATGAAAGTCTTTTGAATACATGTATTTAAAGGAATCCTATAGTAATGAAATCCCATTATGCTTCCATTCAAAATAAGGGAATTCTGAGGCTTTTTCTTTTTTTTAAAAAAGTGTTACTCCTTTCCTTAAGAATTTCACATTACCAGCTACTTTACCATATGCTAAAATGTAACTTTGATGTAGGCTGTCCAATAACAATATTTTTCTTACCATATATATAGGAAACTCCAACAAGCTCAAAAATGGCAATGATGACAAGAGAGTAAGAAGCTGCGTAAGTGTCCACAAGCTGTAACATATACATTCCACCCTAAAGAAAAAAAAAACGATAAAAGAGCCATTACTTGTGGCAAATAGCTGGTGTCTCTTTTCACCCGGGTTACAACTCTAACTGGTGCTAAGGCAGGCAAAACAGACAGGAGCAGGACGCAGGAGACTCTATCCCAAGTAAGCATCCAAACATTGACCGGACACAGGGTCATGCCGCACTATAGTTTCTTCCTTCTGGCTGAACGAATGTCAAATCCAACAAGAAAAAAAGCAGAGGATACATCTGAGTCTGGTAACTAACACACCTTGGGAAATTTTAGTTTCCTAAAATCAATACACCTTTCAGATAAAGGACTGAACTGCGACCAAACCATCCACCAGCAATGTCTCTAACCACTTAACACTGCATCAAAAGCCATATCACCATTCAAACCAGGGATATCGTAATAATCCGTCCAGTTCATCTCTTTGGAAAGGATTTAATGCCCTGTCTTCAGGGCAGTGGTTGGGAAGCAAGTAGAGGAAGCACTGGATCCATCCTAGGCTTTAAAACAGCACAATTCAGCTGGTAGGTGATGAGATGAGAGGAAAGAAAGAAAAAGGGGTGGAAAGGATGAATAGTAAAATAGATTTTGTGCGCCTCCTCTTGAAATTACTGAGAGTTTGTAATGCTGGAGGAATTAGTGGACAAAAGACACTGAAGGCTATTAACGGCAGATGAGAATTTCATTATGAACTCCACAGTTTGCCAAGACTATTAGTATATATCTAATCTGGGAGGGAAGGCACCCAAAACTGCTGTGCATGTTTATATGACGTTAATTTTTTTTATTTTTTTTTTTTAAATGAATACCTAGCTTACATGACTACTTTGGAGATGTTTGGCAAGGGATGAATTTTAAAAATCTGATTCTCCAAGATTTGAACAGCAAAGTCTTTTCAATACATCTCAGAGCATGCATTGGGGGGGGGAAAAAAAAAAAAGGAAAAAAAAAAAGAAAAGAGACTTTCAGGCTCACCCGGTATCTTTGCACATGAGGCAGAATTCAGCTTAATCTTTTTGTAACTTGTGCAGGAGGAGAACGGCCACCAGAGGGGGACTGGGGACAGACAGCGATGCTCAAAGACAATATTATTACCTGAGTGATCATAGGAAATCCCATGATGAAAAAGGAGATGCAGCACCCAAGAGTGAACAGTGCCTTGTGCGTACGTAAGTATTTGGGGAACTCATCCGAAACGGAGGTCACTATAGTCTCAATAGTTGCAAACTGAAAGACAAAATAAAAGGATTCATTTCAGTGTGCAAAACATACCCAAAATAGTCCAACCGGATGTATTGGAATATGAGAGACGGTATTTCAAATCCAAGGTGGTAAATGTTCAGTTGTCAACGCCAGAGCTTCCCCCAAATGATTTCAGCGTTGATGGCCTTACTTTATTCCCCTTTTTACAAAAAGGTTCGCTGACCACATGGAAAATAGCGAGTAATCTCATGGTCCTCCAAACAAATCATCAGGAAAAGCAAGAGGAAAAGAAGGAGAAACAAAAGCAGTTTACCATAGTGTCCAATCCAAGCGTCAGAAGCATCAAAAAGAATATTATAGCCCAGAACGGAGAGAGGGGAAGCCGAGTTAAGGCTTCTGGGTAAACCACAAAAGCAATTCCAGGACCTAGAAATGACAAAAATAGAGGTTGCGGTATCTTGCATCACGTTAACATTGTTGACTGAACGGAATGGGGAGACGTGAAGAGTCACGTTTCAAAGTAAAATACAGTATTACTTTGCTTGATAAAAGAAAAAAGATCGGATTCAGTCTCGCCTATTTACAGAAAGATTTAACTATTACAGAATTTAACCTCACATGATTAATTTCCATTTTGACTCTAAGTTTCAAAACACTCATCCTCTCCTACTTTCCAAGCTGCAGAATACATATTTAACCAGTATACTAATATACTGATCCAATACAAAAAATAAACAGATATCCTGTACTGCAGCTATGTTTCTTTCCTGCCCTGTGATCAAATTCCTGCCACTGTCCCTGCCAATTAGCATCCCAGCCTTAAATCAACATAGCAGTCGCCCACACCTCAGTACGACAGGGATGAACGGAAAAGAAAGTACTCTTCTTTAACTCATCAGCACGCAGTCAAATGAGCGGGAGAGAACACAACAAACGCACAGAGCTGATACCAGACACAAGGTAATAACTACCATGAATCTAAAAAAAAAAAAACCCCACAAGAAATTCTGAAATGAAGCGCAGCAGAAAAAAATAAGGAGGAGCCTTAACCAGGAATTTTCCTTTCTTTGTTGGTTTGATATCTTGGGCATATTTTTTATTGACTGTAAATTAAAAATATTTTTTACAACTATGCTTAGATTTGCCTTGGAGAAAGAGCTGCAGGAATGTGGTGGTAGCATTACAGTGGATGGCACTTCTTGATTTATCCCAGCCGAAAGAGGGCCCGCTTCAAGTGCCCTGAAGGATGTTTCCTGTTGGGCAAGACACAAATTAAAGCCAAGTTGTGCCGATTCCATGACCCATGCCCACAAGAAAGGGCTCCAAACTCACTCTGTCCTGGCCATTTCTAATCTGGATTATCGGATCCCAGTTCTTATGGCTCCCCACACCGTTTCTGTTTGAGAGAGGACCGTGACTCTCTCACATACTGAGAAAAACCACGCGGTTTCAGTAGCATGTGTAATAATCTCCATGGGCGGTTTGTGAAGTGTTTGGAACAAAAGACAAATACGAGAGTTAACAACATTGTAAAAAAAGAAAAAAGAAAAAAACACTGTACATGACTCATTAATTGCTGCTGCCTTTAAAATGTGCTGTGCTCAGAAAAATGGCTTTTTGGAATAGGAAGGTGCATGTAGAACTACTATGTATTCATGAACACGTGCTTTCATCTCTTGATTAAAGATTTCTTCTTGACTATTAGAGATAAGAGCTCTGTTTGCACTAGCTTCCTGCACGTAGGAGTTTAATTAAAGTCTTGGAATAATGAGTTCCCATTAATCACACTTTTAGGAAAAGTTTAATTATAGAATATCAAAGTGCACATCTCTCCCTCTCGGCCCCTCATAACTCTCCAAGATATCACGTGCCAGGGAGCATCCAAGCACAGGTAAATGGTCACAGGGAGGCTGGCTCCATCCTCTCCATCTTCAGAGATTTAGAGGGATATGAACTCTTCTAAACGGCTATTAAAGCCAGGAAAACTCCAAAGGTTTTATATGCGTTTAAACAAAAAACAAGTCAAGTGACCTTGAACTTTCATTTTACATTACTACAATTTTTCAACTGCAGTATGTTCTTAATCAAACTGAGAGAGAAGAACGAAAATAGATTGTCCTGTCTTTCCCTCCGTGAACAGAGTTTGATTTGCTCATCAGGTCCCTGAGTTTTTCCTGAAAGGAAGATTCTAAATGAAAAAAATACTTCAGATTCAGAGTCATAAGGGAAAAAAAAATCCCTTTTCATTGCCATTAACAATTTCATTCAAGGTTTTAAAAACCTGAATGGAGATCATCATCGTTTTTGCTGTTTTCTCCTTCACTGTGAAATGAAACTTCAGAATAAAGAAACTTCAAAATAAAGAAATGAACTTCAGAAGGAAGAAAAGGTAGGCAGAGACAAGGGCTGGCTCTTCTCCCCACTTGCTGAGTCTGCTTGTTAATTCTGTTAAATCAATGTCTAACTCAGTCTGCAACTATCCCCAATCTTCCCTCTCTTCCTACGGTACTGCCCTCTTCTATTATGTGACTAAATTTTGTTTCCCCCGCCACAGAGAGCAGTGAAGCCTCACCCTCGTGAAATATTTTCAAATGGCCTGAACGGGTTCTTACAAATGCACTGACAGCCCTACAACGAGACTGTCTTGAGATGGCTTTTTTTTCACATCCCCTGGAACAGCTGCTGAAACAGCTGGGAACAGAGAGCGCTCCAGCCTGCGACTAGTCGCTCACTCAAAGACCGCCAACAAGCACTCAACAGAAACGGGATTGCCATCCACTGCGCTAAGTATTGTGTCATCTCCAGGGAGATGAACCAGCTGAACCAAGCGTTTCCTCCAGCACCCCTAACAGCTATGTCTCTCCATGTCCCCTTCTGTCCAGGCCTTCGGAGCTTCCACTGCAGCTTCACTCAGGCACGGCTTCTCTGAGCAGGATTTGAACCTAACTCCTTACAATAATTTCAGTGACTGCAGTGACGTTTGGATTGCAGGGTTGGGGGTTTTGGTTGTTATTTGTTTCAGGATGGAGGTAAAAAGATTAATGGAAACATTACTCCTAAAACACCTGGCCTCGCATGGAGTTTTCCCAAACATAACGGTCTAATCCAGCCAGAAAACAGGGACAAGAATGAAACTTTTCTGCTCCCACTTACATGACTGGCAGGACCAAAAAGAAGAGACAAGGCACTGAAGACTGAATCAAGATTGCATTAGCTTGCAAGTGCAGTATCCCCAATGACTTGCTATCAAGAAACAGCTTGCCAGCTGCCCATCCTATGGAATTCTTCCCTCAGAACCCCCAGCTGAATCTGCAGCCCGGTTAGCAGCCCATCGCACCACGGCTCAACTGGTGCAAGCCCCAGACTAGCTAACTCCTTGTGACAGCCGCAGGTCACTAGCTTCCTCTCACCTCAATGTCTGGGCTGCCACGTACCAAGCGAAGGAGCTGCAGAAATTGCACGTGGCCTGGCAGCTTTATTTGCATCTCTGAGGTCAGAAGTACTGCAAAGTCTGTGGGATTAGCCATGTTTCAGTTTACAGAGAAGGAATAAGCAAAAGGAAACTAAGAGCCTTTACTTCTCCTTAACCAGCAGCAAGACTTTGTTCCCTTCTCTGTTGTCCTCCTTTAACTTGTAGTAGCTGGTTTCTAATAAACAATTAGAAACATTAGAATTCCGAGAAAAGGTACTTTTTCAAGAAAAAATAAAGAATGCTTCACCTGCTTCACCAGCTCTTGTTCCTACAGCTACAGGATTTCTGTGTGCCCAGCTCGTGATGTCTGCTTTCCACTTAGCTCCCACGACATTGCTAAATGCACGTTAACTTTCATACCCAAGTTGTGCAGAACGATCTATGAATAATACCATACAAAGTCTATGGAAAGTCATCTTGATTTCTATTCCCTGTTGTCACTGCTGCAATTTCTGAATCACGATGCTCAGTCAGGTACCTTAGGCTACATATAGCAGCTTGTGGCATTGTATTTATCCACACAATAAACCTGTCAGAAAAATGTTTAGCGTCTTCACATTTAACGCGGACAGTGAGACACGTCAGGTATAGAAGCCATAAGTCTGTGACATTCACTTTTTGAACTCGTCAGTCCTTCTCCTGTTCAGAGCCTCCTCTTGCTCTGTGCTATCATGGGTTGGGGGGAAATAACATTGGGAACCGTCCCCATGTCTGAGAGAGAGACACGAATCAGTTCTCTTCAGCGCCTGGAAATGACTGTATCGTGTTGAAAGCTAACACAATCCACTTAACACCCTCACGTGCTCACAGAAACAGCTATGGTGGGGGAATCATAAATATGTTATTACAAAATTATTACAAATTTGTCTTTTTAATACAGTTTGAAATGGTCTTAAAGATCTGGGAGTTGGTTGGCTGAGAGCTGAAGTGCTGCACATTGCGCAGAAAACGTAGAACTGGACTATGGCAACAACTATCCCTCTATAATCCCCTCTGAATTTTACAACCCTTTGAATTTCGCTGGATCTTACCCCCAAAACTCCTCCCTTCCTATCTCCTGCCACGTCATACCATCCTCTGAATTTTACAACCCTTTAAATTTCGCTGGATCTTACCCCCAAAACGCCTCCCTTCCTATCTCCTGCCACGTCATACCAAATGATACACGACAGCACCGATTCGTCCATCAGTCAGACTCTTCTCCCTCACATTCAGCTCTACCAATTAAGGCCTTTCAGATCCCCACTTGTAACCATCTCGCTTCACTAACCAAGACCTTCTAATCAGTTCTTCAGAAACTTTTTACTTCCCCATGGAGGCAGCTCCTTACTTTCCACAGTTCAGAAGCTCAATCCACCTCTCACACCATATTTCTCTCACTCCCCACATCACAAAGCCCGCCACCCTCTCATCCAGGACTCCCAACCATCACGGACACCTTTTACCTTGAAGAAGACTTGACAAGCAGCAGCAGAGACAAACAAGAAGGCCGGTGATCGCTTACACTATGCGAAGGAGACATCTCACCCTAACTCCCATCAGTCATTTACATAAAGATTTGAAATGAGTCTCAGATTGCTTCTTTCTCTTACCAAATGAGTGATAAGGTATCTTCAAGTAATATCTTGACTTCTCAGTGTACCTTCTCCCACACAGAAACGCCTACAAGTGGTTTACTAATCCGCTTCAGCTTGAAGCCCTTATTCACACCTCCAATGTCAATGTCATCATTAATAATAGAGCTGAAGGTGTCACCAGGTGCCTAAGTAATGAAACGGTAGCATACCCTACCTTGGTCTGCCACAGCTTCGATATTCACTTTGAGCTCATTTGCCATGAAGCCAATAACTGAGAAGATGACAAAGCCTGCAAATATACTTGTGGCACTGTTGGTACACGTGACTATCAACGTGTCCCTGAAAAGAAAACACAAGAAGCCACGTCACCTTGTTGTAACACATACAAGGAAGAAGGGGTGTGTGTGTACACAGTTAAGGAGTCTCTCTCATGAGCACACAGATCCCGTGGCAACGCTGACAAAGGTACACTTGTACGCATATCAGGTACATTTGATGCTGATCAGAGGTGACAGAAGTCTTCACAACACTGCCAGGAATCAGGTGTGCAAGTTTCCGTCACCCACGTGCTATACAGAAAGCCACAGGCCAAGCAGGAGGATGAGCATTTCTGCTCTTGGCGTCTCTGAAGAAGGTAGCAATGACGACACGATCTGTAATGTGGTGTTTTACTCTTTGCCTGATGAGGATCACTATATTACATTTGGACTAAGCACCACTGTCCAGGCAAGACGATTTTTATCCTGTATCTTTCTTGTATTTATAGGCAAAATTTCAGAGTTAAGCTTTTTGTACCTTGCAGCACTCACTGAAATGCCTGCCCATCTGCAGAGGATTCCCTGGCACAATTTTCTCTTGTTGTTGTTAAGAGAATCTCAAGAAGTCCAGACCTGAATGTCATACTGTAGTGGGTAAGTACATGTGACTTGACAGGAAACCAGCCCTCGTGATCCCCATCCATCATTATCACAGTCTTGTGTGTCCAGAAAACTTGCCCTTAAACTACTACAGTTTAGGAACAAATAAGTCACTTCAAATGTGGGGTTGTTGCTGTTGTTTTTTAAGTTGGCTAAAATTGCTTATTCCTACTGCTATTCATTTGTCAGGAACACAACAAAATATAACCTGAAAAGCTGTCAAGAACCTCACTGAGCTGCAAACTTCTGGAATCTCTAACAGAACATCTCTTAACAGGAATGATTAGGTTAATTCTTCAGGTCTACAGGAAAAAAAAAAAAAAAAAAAAGAAACAAAAAAAGACAATGGTCTGTTTGGAATCATCATGTGTCAAAATCTTCTTCCAAAACTCAGGTAAGTTTTAGGTAAAATATTTTAAGTATGCATTATGAAGTGAATTTATGTAAATTCACTGCAATTATAGATTATTTAATGATGTTTAAAATGAATATGTAACTGAAAACTACAATTTTATCTACAGTATTAGAATGTAACGAATATAAAAATTGAAAGATAAAATAGTCATGCTTCATTTCAGTATTCAAGATGTGTTGTAAAATTAAAAAGGAGCAACTAAGCTTTGCTAATTATTTCTGCTTCAACGTTCCATATCCCTTTCTAACATAGATAAAGCATGTACTTAGTATTAGACCTGTAAGATTTTTATACTTCATTACCATATATTTCATTCAAAATGTTCATTAACATTTTCCGAACTTGGCAAAATATTGCTAAATCAATGCAGAAAGATAGCATGATGCTTCTCCCACTTTTTGCCCTAATATTCTGTACGTATTCATTCATTTAAAAAAAAAAAAAATCAAAGCCCAGTACAAGCATTTTCACAAATAGAACCCAAAGGATTGCTGAGTGGGAATTACTGCGTATGCAACACTGTTACTTATTCATCCGTATTTTAGGTTAATTATAGTACTTTTGAACACTAGCAGGAAATGTTTTTGAAATTCCTTTTTAAAATCCTGATCCACATTTCCTTTTAAAGGTAAGTATTCTGAATACAGTGCTTAGAAGTTATAGGATATAGGAGTTCAAATCCCAAGGAGCGTGTGCTTTAAAGTCTTGATTCAGGCAAGTTTTTAAGCATCCCCTTGGCTGTCCTGAATCAGCACCTCTGTCACGGCAGCAATCAGTAAAGGTTTGCTTCAGTAGAAACAAGATTGGCTTTAAAGACAATAAAATAGCAGTGAGGCATTCTACAAATGCCATTTGCTTTGGTTTTTTCCACCTGCAGACATTTATCTGGCACGCTTGTTGATGAAAACCTGTACCATGCCGCCAGAAAAAAAGCAATTTTAAATGTCATAACTTGAAATAACTTTATACGTGTAAAACTACACTAAAAGTAATCAGAAAAAAATAACAACATTTAGGAGAGACAAGAATTACATATATGGAAATTGCACGTTAAACTTCCACATGTGTCTCAACCGCAAACTTCAGCCCGTTCTACACAGGGGTTGTTCTTCAGCAGAGGCTACCAACTGGCACGGGTTCATAGCACTGCTCACAGCTGTTGACAGCTTCCCAGGTTGCCTTTCCACCTAAACCTGTTGATTCTGAAAAAGGAAGAGCCAATAGGAACTACAATAAGCCTATGGCTCATCTTGAGACTGGTAGATTAGGACCTGAGCAGAAGACACAATACACAAAACCAAAAAAAGATTAAAGAAACAAACAAAACAAACAAAAAACCCACACAAGAAGAGAGGAAGGTCTTTCAAAGCAGATTTCTGCAAGCTGGAAGATGACTGGTTTTGGACAAGACTTCTTTAATAAGACTGATGGGTTTCACTCTCACATACCTGTAGCAATTATTATGAAATTTGTTGTAAGAAGAAAGAGTAATCAGACCTCCCCATGCTGCAGACAAGGAGAAGAAAATCTGAGTGGCAGCATCCTTCCAAACCTAAGCAAGATAGACAGGAGAGAAAACAGCATTGGCTTCAGGAAAGAGGGGTAGAA